TGCAGGGAAAGGTTCCCATTTCAGCTTGACTTTTGAGATTATATTAATGTTCAGCAAAGCTGCACGGTTGGTAATCAAGTTGATTTTGTTTCTCAGGTCTTCTTGATTGTTTCAATTTGTTTGTCCATCATGCATCTGATAGCACACCACCTGTAACAATATTGGCATTATTGCTGCAAGCTTTGCATAAAATTCCAAGTATTATTGAACCTCGTTCTCGGCAATTCATTCCTCTATTTTTTAAGTTTTTGGGATACAACACTCTTGATCTTGCAAGGTGAAAATTTGCTGTATTTTTTTATTCCTTTCATGTTACATGACATTGAACTTTGTGAATCTCTTATGTTCTACCTTGATTGACAATTTTTTATCCTTTGCAAAATGAAATTGCAGTGTGGGATTGTTTGATTCTCATGCTTATAAAGGGAAAGAGTGGAAGGCTGTCTTAAAAGAATGGTTAAACTTGTTGAAGCTGATGAAAAATCCAAAGTCACTTTATTGCAGCGAATTTCTTAAGGAGGTTCTGCAGAATAGGTTGACATGCAATCAATTGTGTATCATTTCATTCTGCAATGTTTTGTTCACCAGTTACTCAGATAAACTTATGTAGATGGTCTTCTATTTTAATCATATATCTTTGTTTTTTTCCTTTCTGTTTTGGTCATTTGGCAGGCTTTTAGAAGAAAATGATCCTGAAATACAAATGAGGGTTTTGGATTGCCTGTTAATCTGGAAGGATGATTACATTTTACCATATATTGAGCATTTAAGAAACTTGATTAGTTCCAAAAATTTAAGGGAGGAACTAACAACATGGAGTTTATCAAGAGAATCTGAAATAATTGAAGAATGCCACCGGGCTTATCTTGTCCCATTAGTTATCCGTCTTTTGATGCCGAAAGTAAGAAAGTTGAAAGGACTTGCATCTCGAAAGGTATACCAATTTGAATTTGTTGTTGTTGTTGTTTTATATTTCTGTCATCCTATTTTTTGGTTTGTCGCACATGCTTTTCATCTGCCTTTTACTTTGTAGACTAATCATTTGTCATCTTATCATTTGTCAGAAAGCAAGCATTTGTCATCGGAAAGCTATTCTGAGTTTCATTGCTGGACTTGATGTTGTAGAGCTGCCTCTTTTCTTTGCGTTACTGATAAAGCCTTTGCAAATAGTGAAGAAAACTGATGGGCCTGCTAACTTGTTTTGGACTTTACCTAGAGGTTCCATTAATGAATTTGAAGCTGCGGCTTTGTTGGAATATTTTACTTTGGACAATATAGCAAACCTATCCTGGAAAAAGAAATATGGTTTTTTGCATGTCATTGAAGACATTGTTGGGGTTTTTGATGAATTACATATTAGGCCTTTTCTTGATCTACTGGTGGGATGTGTTGTTCGGTTATTGGAGAGCTGCACTTCAAATCTCAATGCAAATTTGAATGAGCTTCCTTCAGATGAGTGCAATTCTAGCACTAGCTCAAATTCTCTTGGGGAGAACAGTGCGCCAACAAACCAAATCCAGGTATTATTATTTTCATGCTGAATGCAAATTTACATGTGTGGTGATCTGTCTAAATGAACTTGAGAATGAATTTGTCAGTGTAGAGTTTGGCATAATTAGTAATTTGCACTTTGTGTTTGAAAAAAAATGAACTTTGGTATAATGCTATAATATATATATTGTTTATCAATCTGTTGTGTTCTGTGGATGTTTTAGTGGCAGTGATAGTTTCTTTCCTATGTTGCTTGTTTTGATGGTTTGCTGTTTCATTCATGTTGCTCGATGGCAACTAAAAGTAGATTCACTGAGCTACTGATTGAAATCATAATTTTCCCTCTTCTGATGTTTATTGTCTGTTTTATTCAATTTTCTACTTTTTAATTTGTTTTTGCAGATCAGTGGTACTATGAACCAGCTGAAGGATATGAGATCTCTGTGCCTGAAAATTATTTCCCTTGTACTCAATAAGTATGAAGATCATGAATTTAGTCCTGATTTATGGAACAGATTCTTTTCTGCAGTAAAACCGCTGATTGATAAATTCAAACTGGAGGCTGCTAGTAGTGAGAAACCAAGTTCACTATTATCTTGCTTTCTGGCTATGAGTGCAAACAACAAACTTGTAGAGTTATTAAGCAGGAAAGAAAGTCTTGTACCTGATATATTTTCCATAGTCTCTGTCCATTCAGCTTCTGAAGCTGTTATATTTTGTGTTCTAAAGTTTGTTGAAAACTTGTTAATCCTCGACAATCAGTTTAATGAAGCCAATTCTGCCCAAGGAGTTTTACTTTCAAATATTAAAGTACTGATGGACAGCATGTGCTGTTTATTTGGAAGTGATAATGCAATCAAGAGGTATCTTAGTTCTATTTGCTTGAGCTATCATAATTTTAGTTGCTGAATTAATTTGTTTGACTGTGCAAGTGTGCATGTTTCTATTAACTCAATACTCGGCCTCTGCATTGGGTATTGGGTTTGGCATTTGTATTTTTCTCCATGAAATAAAGTTACCTCTTAACAATGATGCAATACCCCATGGTTCTCTGTGCAAAAAAGAATTTTTTATAGTCTGGTTGATACGGGGGCAGTTATGGATGTTAACTGTAAGGAGCAGGAGGCAAACAAAAAAATAATTTTCACATGTGACTAAGTATCTCTGATCTCCATAATCAAGGTCAAATACATTCATCTAGGGAGAGCCTTTAGACAATCATTTTATCCATCTCGATCAATGTTGAAAATATAGATCTGAACGAAAACTGATAATGGGTCATTTGTGTGTTAAGCAATTATTATTTTTTTTCTTGGTGACAGAACAGGGCTTTACCTGTACGTGGTATAACCGAATAATACATTAGAGAATGAACCAATCAATGTGCCTTCACCTAACAACTTAAGCCATTTAGGTGAATTGGTCCTTAACATATATTAGTGTCTTTATGACCAAGTGGTTTGGAGTTCCTTGTTGCTTCCATTCTTCTAAATAAAAGTTGACCTCATGCACAAGGTAGTGGTCCTGTGCTTTGTCCACGCTTCAAGCTAAAGGCCCCAATGTGAGGGAGCGTGTTGGATATAAAATCAGTTATGTGCCTTCTGCTATTAGGAAGTTGGTCCTAGACAGTGTAGAAATAGAGGACAAAGACTATACAAAGGCATACTCATAATAGGAAGGAGGTAAACAGTATATCTTCAAAATTTATCAATAGGATTAGTATTGCAAGTGGAAAAAACACCTTTGCATAATGTAATTGGAAGTTTCTAGTGCACGAGGCAGAGGGTTGATCAACTCAATCAGATTATTTGGAGAAAAAAAAAAAGTACCGACATTAGGAAATGTGTGGACATGATAATTTTATCACATGAGAAGGCAGATGCCGTATTTTCTGATTGCATTTTATATATAGAAGAAACTGCATACTTTTACGTAGAAACACTTGTAGGATAATGAGGAATTGAGCGCTTAATCTTTTGCTTTTTTTTTCTTCAGAAAGCTGATCAGATCTCCTGGGGAGACAGTGATAAGAATTTTCAAATTTTTACCCAAGTACATCAGGGAGGCAGAGTTGGCAAAACAATTTGTGGACATATTGCTTCTGTTTTTGGAAAAGAAAACTCAAAATTCTGGTGAGAAAAAGTCATATATCCACGTTTGCTCTGTTTCATCCTTTGCCTTTTTTAGAACTTAATTTCTTCATTAATATTGAAATTCTTTTGGTTATATTGTAGATGTCTGGGTTGAAATTTTGCAAATCATTCAAAATATTATACCGATACTAGGAGATGGAAATACCACTAAGATTCTAAGTGCTGTATCTCCATTATATATTTCGGCTGAGTTGGATATGCGATTGAGAATATGTGATCTTCTTGATTCTCTTGTATCTTCTGATGCATCTGTACTCTCAGTGGTAATATGTGTTCTGTCTCTTTTGATCAGTGCATATTTCTTTCAAACAACCATTCCACATTTCACGTTTCTTTAATTTTTTCTTTGCTATTTTATTGGGATGCAGGCAAAACTTCTTCGTCAGCTGAATGCAACATCTACTTTGGGTTGGCTTGACCATGATGCTGTTTTAAATGCTTACAGTGTCATTAATACTGATTTCTTCAGAAACGTTCAAGTGGAGCATGCATTACTTATTTTATCACATTGTGTGCATGACATGTCATCAGAAGAAACAACTTTTATGTGTAGTGCACACAGTTCATTGCTCTCTTTTGTTGATTTTTCTGCTCTCATCCTCTGCCAAGAAGGAAACAGTGAAGTACAGTTGTCACTGATGAAAAAAACTGATAATTGTTGGACAAAATCTTGCATCCAGCGTATAACAAAGAAATTTCTCTTGAAGCATATGGCAGATGCGATGGATGGATCACTTTCAGTTAAAAAGGTATTTGGTAAACATTAGTTATAAATCATTTTTAAGCGATAGGTACTGTATCAATTTCTAGTTATATAAATTCAGGCATATATGTGCACATAGATGGGACTTTCTCCTATGTCTAGTTGTCTACCTTTGGGGAAGCACTTGTACGTCACATTGTCTCACATAAGTGGGCAATTTGTTTCCATTCCTAGTCTTTATCATGGCAAGGATAATGTGAATAGTAAACTGACAGATAGATACTAAGCTAATTACTAACTGGAAATGCAAACTTAAATTATAATTAAGTAGTTGTACTTGTATATTCCATTATGTTTATATACTGGTTTATGTTGTTGCAGGGATGGATAAAATTGTTACATCAAATGGTGTTGAAGCTTCCTGAAGTGGCAAACCTTAAATCACTTATGGTCTTGTGCAACGAGGATGGTGAAGTAAATTTTTTTGACAATATAACGGACTCGGTGGTATGTCTTTATTCCAAAGATTTTCTGATTAAATGTTTAATGAAGCAACTTTCTTCTGCCTTTGCTTATTATAATCAGAAACACTATCAAATTTAAATCTTGTTATTCATTTTCTAGTTCTTTAGTTCTGTTGTAGTAATTTAAATGCTTGCAGAACATCTCATTTAAGTATTTTTGGTGTTTTAGATACGCAAGAGAGTCAAGGCATTGTCATGGTTTCGAAATGTTATCAGTATGAACAAGTTTTCAGAGGTAGTAACTTTATCCTTTCGAATTGAAGTATTTTTCCTAGTTACTGAAATTTAATTATTTTATTGTTTACTTCCAGTTCATCACTGAGAAAATGTTCATGCGTCTCTTCTTCAACATGTTGTTCGATGAGAAAGAAGGATCGGCTGAACATATGAAAAATGCATGCATAGAGACCATTGCATCTGTAGCTGGTCAGATGGGATGGAAGTCATACTATGCATTATTGATCAGATGTTTTCGGGGTGCATCCAGTAGTCCAGACAAACAGAAACTTTTTATACGCCTGATTTGCTATATTTTGGATAAATTTCACTTTCCAGAACTTCCTTACAATAAAGAATCTATGGAATCTTTGGATGGAGTTTCTGACATAGGGATAACTGACACTGATGAGAACAAAGAGATACAGACTTGCCTGTATAAAATTGTGCTTCCAAAGATACAAAAGTTGCTGGATTCTGATTCTGAAAAGGTCAATGTAAATATTAGTCTTGCTGCTCTGAAGCTACTTAAATTACTTCCAGGTGATGTGATGGACTTGTATCTTCCAACTGTTGTTCATCGAATTTCAAACTTCTTGAAGAGTCATCTAGAAAGCATTCGTGACGAAGCTAGGTCTGCATTGGCTACTTGTTTAAAAGAACTTGGATTGGAATACTTGCAATTTATTGTCAAGGCTTTGCAATCTACCTTGAAGCGAGGATATGAACTTCATGTCTTGGGATACACACTCAATTTTATTTTGTCCAAGTGTCTTTCAAGTGCAGGTGTTGGAAAGATAGATTACTGTTTGGAGGATCTGCTTTCTGTGATAGAGAATGACATTCTTGGAGATGTTGCTGAGCAAAAGGAGGTGGAAAAGATAGCTTCAAAAATGAAAGAAACAAGGACGAAAAAATCATTTGAAAGCCTGAAATTGGTGGCCCAGAATGTAACATTCAAAACCTATGCTCTGAAACTCCTTGCACCAGTGACTGCTCATTTGCAGAAGCACATCACATCAAGTGTAAAAGGAAAATTGGAAAATATGTTGCATCATATAGCTACTGGTATTGAAAACAATCCCTCTGTAGATCAGACTGATCTATTTATCTTTATTTATGGCATCATTGAAGATGGATTTAAAGATGAAATTGGTTGGCACAAGAATAAATTGTCGAAATTGGAAGGTAACGACAGCCGTAGTAATACCAAAAGAATTTCTACAGGTCATGTAGTTGCTAAAGGCTTATTGTGTTCACACCTTATTACAGTGTTTGGTCTCAAAATATTTCATAAACGTATTAAGAGTATGAAACAGGGCGTAAAAGATGAAAATACTTTATCCTTATTAGACCCTTTTGTCAAGGTATTATGTGATGGCTTATGCTCCAAGTATGAGGATATCTTGTCTACATCCCTTGGATGCCTAGCTATATTGGTAAAGTTGCCTTTGCCATCCCTTCAACTACAGGCTGAGAGAGTAAAGGCTGCTCTGTTGGATATTGCCCAGGGTTCAATGAACTCTAGCAGTCCATTAATGCAGTCATGTTTGACTTTGCTGACTGTGCTTTTGAGGAACACTAAAATTTCTCTTTCCTCAGATCAAATAAATTTACTAGTTCAGCTTCCTATATTTCTGGATCTTGAAAAAAATCCATCTTTGGTGGCCCTATCACTTCTAAAGGGTATTGTCAGCCGCAAGCTGGTTGTACCCGAGATATATGATCTTGTTACTAGGGTTGCTGAACTGATGGTGACAAGTCAAATGGAATCAATTCGCAAAAAATGCAGTAAAATTCTGTTGCAATTTCTGCTTGATTATCAACTGTCAGAGAAGCGCTTGCTACAACATCTTGATTTCCTGCTCTCAAATTTGAGGCATGTGTTTCAGCATAGTTTTTTTTTGGTTATTAATATTATATTTTCTTTTTCATAGATTTGATTTTAGACCTGTGGATATTTTAATCCTTTACAGGTATGAGCATTCAACTGGACGGGAATCTGTTCTTGAGATGATTCATGCTATTATCGTCAAATTTCCAAGAAGTGTTTTGGATGAACAATCACACATTTTATTTGTCCATTTAGTAGCTTGCTTAGTCAATGATAATGATAATATTGTTCGTTCTATGAGTGGGGTGGCTATAAAGAAGCTCATTAGTGCTGTTAGTCCTAATTCACTTAAATCCATCCTTGAGGATGCTCTTTCTTGGTATTTGGGTGACAAGCAGCAACTATGGGGTGCGGGTGCTCAGGTAATTTTCTCTAAAATGTCTTTTGAACCATAAACTTATCAGAAAGCATAAACTTCAATAATATGTCATTTCAATATATTGATATTTATTTTGGGTTTGCTTGTAAAGTTGTAATGTGCCATGATCTTACCATATCATGCTTATGTGGTATCCTTTGTAAAAACAATTATATAAGGCTAATTACTAATTGTCTTTAGTTGGCTGTTACTTTAATTAAATTTTTATTTCTGGTCCTAGGGTATTATGATAATTTTTGCAGCCCTAAATGTGGATGGTGTGTGGGATTGCCAAAACAGTTTTGGATGTATTAGATTATTAGCAGATTGGCCAAGGGCATGTTGATGTGTAGAAAGTGTTTTTCAATAGATAGGTGAAGGGGGGATTCAGGTTTGACCAATAATAAGGAAGTAACAACGGAATTTATCTGGGTCTGCTACTTTATGGGGTATTTGGTCAGTCTGATTTTGACATTATGCTATTTAGACGTTTGGATTAAGTTGGCCAGTTGGCATTTCAGTAGAAAATCTGGTTAGTTGGTACAAGGCTTCTCACCATAATGGATGGAGTTTTGCGAGTAATAGTCTTGCAAAATGGATTACATGTGCTTGGCTGACAGCAAATGGATGTTTCTATTGACTTAGAGGCTACACGGGAAAGGCTGTGGCATAAAAAAGTGGAATGTGGAGGGCTGTTCTTAGGTATTAGATTCTTGTTGTCTCTATCATAGTGGGGAATGGGATGATTACGCTTTTATCATTTCTGTTTTGTATCCTCTGGAGGAGGGGTTTATATAGGATATTAAATATTTTTGGGCAGTGGAGCTTTTGAAGATAGTAAAGATGGGTGCAAAGTTTTAAGCTGTCATATGAATTATTGAATTCCAGCCTTGTATTGTGTCTAGCAGTTATTTAGGGTTTTTAAGGCTAGAGAATGTTCAGAGTACAGTCTAAATCCGTATTTCACTCTAGACAGTTGTGCAGGTGCACATTTACACTATGCACAACTATATGTTCAAAGTGACCCCAAGACGCCAAGTATTGACCTGTGTGAAGATATCATCTTTTGTGATCACCGTACTATACACAGTTTGATTAAATTTCTAACACTGAAAATCCAGTTCAATATAATGTAATCACATTTTTTTTTTCTTTCATAGAGAAAGATATTTTATTAAAGAAAAAATTCATTAGAGGTGGGCAAAAGAAATTTGGAAGAGGCGCAAAAAGGAAACAGTTGAAATGATACTTCCCCTAAAGCAACAGAGGACAATCTTGTCCCATAGATGTGGATTGGAAGAACTGCTGGAAATACAGCATTTCTTTTTGACCAAATGCTCCAAGGAATAGAGTAGATGTTACATTGGCATAAAATGTTTATTTCTGTATTCCTGTTACATCAATGATGGAAAAAATGTCTCTAAATTTGGATGACACACCTAACAGTCAATAAAAAATTCCAAATGACAATGTGCTGAGCATTACATTAGATGGGCTTCTGTTTTCTAAGTAGAATCACTTCATTGAAGAAAGAGTTGTGTAGTGTGATTAGTCATTAGAATTAATCTTGTTCTGGACTACTTCTCAAATGCAATATTTGATCTTAGAGTTTAGATAGCAGCTTTGTTATTTCAAAGGGTTTTTGTCGGAATGGAATCTTTCACTACTGTTAGAATAGTGGATTAAACCTAACTGAAACAGGAACAAAGATTTGCAATAGTAGTCACCTCACCAGAAGAATCAAGAAACAATATATTCTTTGGGTTTTATTTAATTCCAACTCTTTTAACAGCATTAAACATAAAATTTGCTCTAGCATAGAACATTTTTAATATTTCCTGTCTGCATCATTTACATTGACTGCTGAAATTGCTGATACAGGTTTTGGGGCTGCTGATTGAGGTAATAGAGAAAGGATTTCATACAACATCAAAGCCTTATCCCACAGATAAAGGATTTCATAAACATATAAATTGTATTCTGCCAGTGACTAATAGCATCTTGTCTGTGACTAATTGCATCTTGCATTCTGCCATAGATGCAGTTACGAATAAACAAGAGGGCTTTTCAGCTGAATCTATCATTCCCCTTTGGAAGGAGGCATACTATTCTCTTGTTATGTTAGAAAAGATGATTAATCAGTTCTGTGACTTTTGCTTTACAAAGGATCTTGAGGTAAGTCTGTGTCTATTAAATATATTTGGATTTGGATTCAGATATTAAATGTGTATAAATGTGTTGCTTATGACATGTTAGTCTATGAAATATGTTTATATGCTTTTGATGCAATGTGATAGATAGGGGCGGACTGATTGAAATGGCTAGATAAAGGACTTTGGCATACATAGTTTAAGGGTTTTTGGCTTTGGCTAGAAAAAGCATGAAAGGGATGCAAATAGCTGAGTACGGAAGTTGATACTGAGATGTTGGCATCCTATAACTAATTTGAGTTGAATTACGGATATTTTCTGTCTTTAATTTGACAGGTTCTGCCAGAGCATTAGTTCTACAGTACGGAAGTTATTTGATTTTGTGTTTTGATAGAATGAGATATTTGGCAATTAATTGGAACTTCTAAAATGTGAGTTTTGACCTAACTCAATCCAATGTGAAACCTGGGTTTTTCCTAATAGGAAAAACTAAAACCTTTAACTGTTAATGCAAGGTTTTATTTCTTTAACATGCTCAGATGAAAGCATTTCTGGGCTTGCAACAAGAAAAGTTCATAGATCCAACCCCTTGTTCTGCAATTTTAATATTGTTAAGAACAAAGGAATGACAAGGTTCTGATACATTGTCTTGTAATAACTCACCTGTAAACTTACTCTGCTGTGTGGAAGCTCCAATAGTTTTATGATGATCTAACAATATTAGGGAAAATATAAGTTAAAATTTTATAATCCAAATAGTTTGTGCTATGATTCTTAGTTCCATATTGTATACAGTTTTTTCCTGCCCTTTCTACAAGCACTAATGTGTGAAAAATCCAAACTTAACCATTTAACTTGCCAGTCTTTAATTTCCCACATTTCTTGGCTAGTACACTGACATGTAATATTTTGTACATACTTTTCAGGATATATGGGAAGCAGTATGTGAGATGCTGTTGCATCCACATTCATGGATACGTAACAAATCAGTTCGCCTCATAGCTCTATACTTTGCACATGTAACAGATGTTAGCAGAGAAAATCATGAAAGTTCCTTAAGAAGCTATTTTATTATGAGTCCAAGTAGATTATATTTAATAGCTACTTCTCTTTGCTGCCAATTGAAAATGCCTCTTATAGATGATGCTGACAGCAACGTGATGACCCAAAATATCATCTTTGCTATATGTGGTGTGCATTCTTTGATGGGTCAAAATGCATGTATAGATCCCCCTGCATTCTGGTCTACTCTTGAGCAACAAGAAAAGGACCGGTTTCTTAAAGCGTTTGACTTGCTTGATTCAAGAAAAGGAAGAAGCATATTCATGTCATCATCTATTATGTCTTCTATATATGAAGACAACAATCAGCTGAATGTTGATAACGCCCAACATGTACTAGTCTCATTATTGCTCAGGAAAATGGGGAAAATTGCTCTTCAAATGGATGCTATTCAGGTTGGTACACAAGCTCTTTGCATGTGCATTCTTGTCTTGATCAATGTGCCTATGAATAATATTATTTCCTGCTTTTCTTGTTTAATGCAGATGAGAATAGTCTTCAACAGTTTTGGGAATATTATGGCGCAGATTAGTCAGGATGACTGCCTATGCTATGCACATGTGATCCTATTACCTCTATATAAAGTTTGTGAAGGATTTGCTGGAAAAGTTGTAACTGGTTGGTATTTCTAATTAGAAAATGTAGAAATGCAAATTAAATTTCTGTTTCCTCTCTTATATTTCCTTAATTTTTTGTCTAGTAGGTAGCAGATAAATTCCAAGTTTGTGATAGGTAGCCACAAATGGTTGGATCTAATTGAGTTTTGAATTTTTTTTTAAACGGATACATCAGAATTCTCTCGAGTTACCGATGGGAGAAAAAGATGCCAAAACAAAATCGGTGGAACCTACATAAATAATTGTTATTCCTGCTATAATTTGTGTCTTTCTCATAACGTAATCCTTTCATGTTATTAACAGGAGGGAGGATCCTGATCCATCCATATCTTGTTCTAGACTTTCTTTACCTTCTGTGTTCCTTATGTCTTTTCTTAGTCCATAGTTTTTTTTGGTGGTGGGGTGTGAGGGTGGCTAGACATGCCTAATGTTCTAATATATTTTCAATTGTTTCTACTCTACCTTTTCCAGTTTTATCTTACCAAGCCAACTTGTGTAATATTTTTAGTTTTCTTCTCTCGCTTTTATTGATGTTTGCTGACATATTACTGAGCATGTTTATTCTTTACCAGACAATGTGAAGAAATTGGCAGAAGACACATGTCGAAAGCTAGAGAATATTTTGGGTACTCAGAACTTTGTGCAAGTTTACAACCTTATCAGGAAGAACCTTAAGGCTAAAAGAAATAGGAGGAGACAAGAAGAAAAGCTCATGGCTGTTATCAATCCGATGCGAAATGCCAAACGAAAGATGAGAATTGCTTCCAAGCATCGTGCCAACAAAAAGAGAAAGATTATGACAATAAAAATGGGGAGGTGGGTGCATTGATTGAAAGGCGAGAAAGGTTCATATTTGTGCGTCCAGTTTGGCACTGAGTGCTCCTGTGTCAAGGTTTTCGTAAAATCACTAATCTTACCATTAACTAAGGTATTCCTGGAGATAATCACTTGCCGCATTTTGCTAAAAATTAAGATGTGATATGCCATTTTATAAAGGTTTCCTTCTGCGCAGTGTTTTCATGTATAAATGAAGCCATGCCAATGTCACATGATTGATGAAAAATTGTGGATTTGGAGATGTCATGTCAATGGATGGAAAAGGATTGCCTCCAATGGAAGATACTTGTGACATAGACAAACATTTTGTAAAAGAAAAAGTCAATTCAGTTATACCAGTTAGTTATTGGTCAGCCTTCCTCTTCACTTGAATGCGTTCTTCACTTGAATGCGTTCATCAGCCGAGGTGTTTAGCGGGACTTATTTCTGTATATCCAAATTCTTGTTGTACAGACTTGAGGATAAAAAGATACATACAACGTTGAAAGTAGATTGAATCCGGCGGGTTAACTCACCATAAACGGGTTGGTGGGTTGGGTGTTTAATTTTTTAACCTGCATAACCCAACCCGCAGCAGATTCAACAGGTGAAGGTTGAAGGGTTGGACTGATTTATGGATTGATAATTTATTTTTGGTTAGATGTTTTGACAGTGTTTAGTTAAATATTTTGCCTAACATGTTTTATTAAATATTATAAATTCTGTTATTTTTTTTATTTTACTTTATATTGGCTCCTTATTTAGTACAAGGATTAATGAATTATTATTTTTGGCACTTAATCTCTCGCAAGTTATGAATGGACTTGGACATAGTCGTAAAGATATAAAAGGCTACGTGGTCGGTTAATATTTGTCTCTAATATAACTTTATTGAATAAACTACTAAATTAATCCCTATTATAAGCATTCATTTTGATTCTTTTTAATCTTATTTTCTACTGATTAATTATTAAAATAAATATCTTTGTATTGCTTGTCTAATTGATACTTGTAATTTATTTTTAAGTAAAATGAAATTTTGCTTGTCTAATTCAAGGGTTAAAAAACAAATAATTATTGACCTGTTAGAGTGTAACATGTTAAGCAAAAGGTAACTATAAATGGTAAAACACGTGAAGAAGGGCGATAGGGAGGACAGTTGGTAAGAATGGACTGAAATAAATAATGGCTTATTTTTGTAATTTTTTTAGGAGACATGCATAGTAACGATTTGAGCGTTATCTGTTGCGTTTCAATTCTCCTCTCTCTCCGTCTCTGGAGAGAGCGCCCCATCATCGTAATTTGAATCTTCAATTTTGATGTTCATCACTTTCTGATCATACCAAGATGGGGCTCTTTATTCAGTACAAGGATTAATGAATTATTTTCTTTGGCACTCAATATCTTGCAAGTTATGAATGCACTTGGACATAGTCGTCAAGATATAAAAGGCTACGTGGTCAGTTAATATTTGTCTCTAATGTAACTTTGTTGAATAAACTACAAAATTAATCTCTACCGTAAGCATTCATTTTGATTCTTTTTAATCTTATTTTCTACTGATTAATTATTAAAATAAATATCTTTGTATTGCTTCTCTAATTCAAGGGTTAAAAAACAAATAATTATTGACCTGTTAGAGTGTAACATGTTAAGCAAAAGGTAACTAAAAATGGTAAAGCACGTGAAGAAGGGGGATAGGGTGGAACAATTGGTAAGAATGGAGTGAAATAAATAGAAGCTTATTTTTGTGATTTGTTTTTGGGAGACATACGCATAGGTAACGATTTGAGCGTTACCTGTTGTGTCTCAATTCCCCTCTCTCTCCGTCTCCGGCCCCATCATCGTAATTGAATCTTCAATTTTGATGCTCATCACTTTCTGATCATACCAAGATGGGGCTCTTTATTCAGTACAAGGATTAATGAATTATTTTCTTTGGTACTCAATCTCTCGCAAGTTATGAATGCACTTGGACAGTCGTCAAGATATAAAGGGCTACGTGGTCGGTTAATATTTGTCTCTAATGTAACTTTGTTGAATAAATTACCAAATTAATTTCTACTGTAAGCATTCATTTTGATTCTTTTTAATCTTATTTTCTACTGATTAATTATTAAAATAAATATCTTTGTATTGCTTGTCTAATTGATACTTGTAATTTATTATTAAGTAAAATGAAATTTTGCTTGTCTAATTCAAGGGTTAAAAAATAAATAATTATTGATCTGTTAGAGTATAACATGTTAAGTAAAAGGTAACTAAAAATGGTAAAGCACGTGAAGAAGGGGGATAGGGTGGACAGTTGGTAAGAATGGAGTGAAATAAATAGACTTATTTTTGTAATTTTTTTTTGGAAGACATACGTATAGTTAACGATTTAAGCGTTACCTGTTGTGTCTCAATTCCCCTCTCTCCCGTCTCCGGAGAGAACGCCCTATCATCATAATTTGAATCTTTAATTTTGATGCTCATCACTTTCTGATCATACCAAGATGGGGCTTTAGCTACAATACTCTTTGGCAGGCTGCCAAGAAGAAGGTACCCTTCTCTTTTGTTTTGTTTAATTATTATCTCTTGGACATTTAATTTATTAATTAATTATGCATGCGTGGGTGATGAAGGTCAAGGCATTCTGTATTGGACATCTTGGCCCTGCTTGATTCGTTAGTTCCAAACCATGGGGGCATCACATGACAACGTAATTGGTCTTATATTGGCCGTCTCTTCCAGCGTTTTCATTGGTTCTAGCTATATAGTTAAAAAATTGGGTCTTAAAAAAGCTGCCGACAATGGCAATAGAGCAGGTTCGTCATCCCCTCTCATCGTTTCTGTTTTTTGTTTTTTAAACATAAAACAATATTTGTGATTTTAATTTTATCAGCCACGGGAGGGCATTCGTATCTGTGTGAACCCTGGTGGTGGGCTGGAATGATTACAAGTGAGTATTTTCATTTTCCCTCCTTTTACCTATTCAAATCAAATCAAATATATAAACAGTATTAACGTAGCGTTTCTGAATGCTTAAAACAAATTATGACTCCATTAATCAATCGGGTCTCGATCTAGTACAGAATAATTCTTCACACATACGTACAGCTCAGAGAAGTTTGTAAACGTCATAAAATTTCTTCAAGACAACTTGCTAAACTGTATATATATGTTCAAACCATTTTGTAGTGATCGGTGGCGAAATAGCCAATTTTGCAGCCTATGCATTCGCTCCAGCACTCCTTGTAACACCTTTGGGAGCTTTAAGCATCATTTTTAGGTTAGCAATATAATAATAATATTGTTTTGTTCCTTCCTTCACAATCATATTCGTAGCACATACTTGTGCTTTCTGTGCAAGAAATTCAAGAGAAACAGTTACAGCTTCATGCGTGTTTATATATATATATATATA